TTGTCTGCTCCTGACAAGGAGCAGGTGCCTCACCCCTCTGGTTAACAAGTTACTGTGCCTGGACACAAGCACCGCTGCCCCAGCTCGGGGGAGGACTCCCTTATCTGCTAATCATGGCTGCCCAGTACAAAGGTTTTCTTGCTGGGGTGACAGCATGTCATCCTTGAACAAAGAGAAAGAACTCAGAGGGATTATCTTATCTTATTCTGAGATGATGTGATACCTCTTAGAGTGGAACTGTACCTTTTAAATGTTCTGCATGATTCTGCTTAGTAAAGTATCAAAAGAATGGAAAAGCAAGTATCCAATGTACTCAATACTAATACAAAGCTAGTAGATGAACTAATACACGCCCACACAAGAGAAAAAACTCAATTCATGTTGGGGGCAGGGGGGAGAGGAGAAGAGGAGGGGGATGGGCATGCTCCCACGGGATGGGCACAATGTAAGGGTATGTGGCACACCTCCTGGGTATGTACAAGACATAACTACAACAGGGACTTTACCTAACAAATGCAAACATTGTAATCTAATCATTTGCACCCTCATATTAATTTGAAATAAAAACAAATAAATTTAAAAAATTAAAAAATCAAATGAAAATGGTAGAAATAAACAAGATGACAGATTTAATTAACTGCTCTATTGTCTCTGCCCAGACACTACTCTGAAGTAGACAGCTAATCAGGAGCATCACTGTGAGGCGGGCCGAGAGGAGGAGAAGCAGGTTTTCTGGTGGAAACAGAATAGACACGGCATTGTCCTCTGGTAAGTAGGTTTAAATGACTCTTGTGGATCCACTGGTAGCAATGATTGTCACAATGCCCACATTACCCTCTCATGGCCCTGGCTCTCAGTACAACATGCTTCCTAGAAGTGACTCTTTCCTCCCTAGACTATAAAAACTGGCCCCCATAGGTTGGGTGTTGGGGGCAGGGGTGGATAAATTCCCATAATGAAAGATTTGTACCAGAGATTCCATGCAGGGTATCTGGAATTATAGAGACTAGAGATCAAAGGGACTCTTTAAAGACCACGGTAAATCCTGTGGATTTAAAAAAAAAAAAAAATCATCAGAGGGATAAACCCGTTACTGGAATCCAAGGATATACAGTAAAATTTGAAAGCCTAGCTGGTTAGGTTGCTGGAGGGAGGTTGAGGACTCAATCCCAGATGATTTAATCTGTCCTTTACCCCCTCACTCAATCTTTGGGTCTGGGGCAAATTCAGGAATGCTAGGGTTCTGTAGAGCTCAGTTTTTTGTTTTTTGTTTTTTTTGAGACAGAGTCTCAAGCTGTTGCCCTGGGTAGAGTGCTGTACCATCACAGCTCACAGCAACCTCAAAGTCTTGGACTTATGCGATTCTCTTGCCTCAGCTTCACAAGTAGCTGGGACTGCAGGTGCCCGCCACAATGCCTGACTAGTTTTTGGTTTCAGCCATCATTGTTGTTTGGCAGGCCCTGGCCAGATTTGAACCCGCCAGCTCAGGTGTATGTGGCTGGTGCCCTAGCTGCTGAGCTACAGGCACCAAGCCTACAGTGCTTAAGAAGTTTCTCTAACTGAATGATGAGGAAACTAAAGCCCAGAGAAGCTAGAAGTCCAGCATCCCAGTAAAGGTAAGGACAGATCAAAGGTGCAGCACAGGTCTCTGGATTGAGAATTCTTTCTACTTAGGCCTGGGAAACAAAGTCAAAGGAGAAAAAAACCAAAATTCAGAAACGTTACAAAGAATTAAATTAGGTATGCACGTTATAGCAGAAGGGACTCCCAGTAATATTAGTGAGACCGTGGTGTTTGTTCCAGTGTGTTCTGTAGACCTTCTGCAATAGAGCTCCCTAGATTTCCTGGGAAAGTTGATACAAGTGTGGATTTCTGGCCTTGGTCCCAGACCTATGGAAGGGGACTTCCTGGGGGTGGACCTAGGAACTACATTTTTAAGAAGTTCCCCCAGTTGGCAATGTCATACTACAACCCTCCACCAGTGGCCTTGGCACCAAGGCAGGGCAGTTAGCACTAAACTGGACATGTCAGCTTTGTACCTCTTGTAGCTGCTGCTAGGAGGTTTTTGACTTTTCAAAGTTCCTTAGTTAAATATTAGAGAGAGGCACAGCGGCCTCAGATTTCAAAGGCACTTTCCTGTTTTCATAGCGGCTTTGGCTGGACCAGCTTCCAGGGCTGTTTTCTGCTCTTTCTTTGACAGTGCCCTCTCAGAGGCAGGCATCCAAACTCAGGTGACTGTGCCCCAAGGCCAGTGGGAGAAGAGGGTATTTGCCGCTGCTGCTGACACCGCTACCCACTCCGGTGGTCTGGCCGGCTTCTGGAGCCCACCCTCCTTTCCTCTCAGAGGACAGAGTTCTGGAGAAGCAGTCACAGTGAGCCAGTATGGCACAGAAGGAACAAAAATAAGGGGGACTCTCCACTCCTGGGTCTTGGGAGAAAAGTCAGGGTTTTTTGCTTTCAAATTTATGTTTAAATCACATTAGGAAATAGTCCTAAGAGACCGATATGGGCAGCAGAACACTGTAACCCTGACCCTGTCACAGTTCTGTGGGTACACACTGGGCCGGCTCCCCGCCCCAGGCTTCTCCGCAGTGGGCTTTCAGAAGGAAGGAAAAGGGGGAGACAGAGCCACCCCAGCAACTGTTGTCACCAAGGACGAGGAGGGAGCACATGTAAGGCAACAAAAATTTGCCTCAGAGGCCCCTAGGAAGACAGTCGGGAAATGTACTAAGGTTCAGAATCCAGAATGATGGGATTATTTAGAACGTAGCGTCAGACTGTGTCAATCCCGGGATGCCGCCGTGGTGGGAAGAAGCGGGAGATTCCTTTATAACATAAAATGCTTTCTAGTTCCTGCCTCATGAATCCACTGCTACCATTCTACCCAGAGATGAAAAGAAGCAACAAAATGTACTCTCTACTTATTTTTCAATTTCATACCAATTTTCATGTCTTATGTTTGCCTTTGACCAAACCTGGAATTACACGTCTGCCTGAGTTAGAGCTACTCGATGTGGGGCGGTCTGTGTCAATCACCTCGGCATCTTTCCCTAAGTACGATACACATCCACTGACACACGGGAAATTATTTTAAGTAGTACACAGTTTTTAATGGTTGCATGTTTATTTTAAGGTATACAGTGTTAGCAAATCAAACCTGTATCATGGGAATTTTAGCCTAGGACAAGGCTAAAGCAGAAAAAAATTAAGAACCTAATAAATATATAATAACATGGTAAGAGGTATGATATTCTCCTTTTTGTGCAATAGCTCCTCAGCTGCACTAATATAGCTGCCATCTTTCCCCACCCTCATTCCACTGGGGAGAGGAGTGAATGCTCTGACCGGTGAGTCTGGGAGGAGGAACCAGGCATGCTCACTTAGCCTTCCTCTGCCCTGTGCCAGGCACCTGTCCCGGGGGAGAGTGGGGTGAGGGGTGCAGGTGGAGCAGGAGGCCTGCCCTTCACCAGCTGGGCCAGAGCCTCCGTGAGTTAGAGTAGGATGTAAGCACTCCAATTTCTACAAATAATCAACACATTGAATCCCATAAGGACATAAATGTATTTATGATCTATGTACAAATGACTTAATAAAAAAAAAGTGAGAGATTAGCAGCTCTCAAACCATGCTCACCAATCAACATTATCAGTAACAAAGGTAATATCGTCAAGTCTATACTGACTCCTGATACCATCCTTATCTCTCGACTGTTTTCAAACTCAGTCTGAAAACTCCTGCAGTGTGTGCATTAAGAAAAGACTCTCAGAAATATGGGAATGTAGATGTCAGGAAGACAGTGACCACGATTCAGTGACACCTGGATCTTCAATCTGCCAGTGCCCAGTTACTGTGGCTAGGTAACCAATATCCCCAGTATGTACTGGAATAAAACAACTGTTTGTTATGCTCATGACAAACAGTTCTGGGTTCAAGAATGAGTATGCGGAAAGAGAGAGAGAGAGAAGGTAGAGCCTGGTAGCCTACCCCTGGACACCACTAGCATAACTTCTGCCATGTTCTGTTTATTTGAGGCAGTCACAAATCACACCCAGGTTCAGGGGGAAGGGAAATCGGAAGAGGTTCTAGAAAAGCATCTGGGTCGAGAAATACTGCGGTAGGGCGGCACCTGTGGCTCAAGGAGTAGGATGCTGACCCCATGTACCGGAGGTGGCAGGTTCGAACCTGGCCCAGCCAAAAACAAACAAACAAACAAAAATCAGAAATACTGCAGTAGCTATTTTAGAAAATACATCCTGCCATACAGAGAAGCAAGAAATTATTTTCCTCTTAATTCATAGTACATTGGCATAATTGCTATTGTAAGAATATGCTACAAATGAGGCTGTTGCTTATACAACTGTGGATCTATACTCCTGTGTCAGCCTATTCTGCATTGCTAACAGCGTCTGAAGAAGGTCTGTCCCTCAAAATGCAAGTGAGAAAGAGGTGGAGATGAGCACCAAGGTGGGCAGCTGGGATAAAAAACCAGAATAAAACATTCAAGACAGTGTTGTTGTATCGTAGCTACTAAGATGGCACTTGGCCTATGGTGACAGGTTGGAGAATAGAAAAAGAATCCAGAGAGATGTTTATGAAATTGTGCTAGCCCTGTAGTAAAATTATTCACAGATCTGGGCATGCATATTGAAAAACTGTGTTTTGTGGCTGGGGATGGTGGCTCACGCAGGTAATCCTAGCACTGGTTTGAGACCAGCCTCAGCCAGAGGGAGACCTCATCTCTAAAGTAGCCGGGTGTTGTGGTGGGCGCATGTCCATCTACTTGGGAGGCTGAGGCAAGAGAATCACTCGAGCCCAAGAGTTTGAGGTTGCTGTGAGCTGTGATGCCACAGCACTCTACCAAGGGTAACAAAGTGAGACTGTCTCAAAAAAAAAAAGAAAAAGAAAAAGAAAAATTGCGTTTTGTGTATTTTTGACAATATTTTATTATGAAAAATGTCAAACACACATCTAAAATAATTCAGCTTGGTTATAGAGTTCAATATTTGTTTTCAGATTTTTTTTTAGTTAAAATTGAAGATGTATTTTAGTATGAATTCATTTCCTTGTACATTGAGACAACATAACAGCATCCCAAAGATATTTGAAGAGAGCGGCTCTCTGCTTGCTTAGGCCATGGTGTTGAAGAGGGAGCAGCATTCCCTGGGGCTGGGCAGGGTGGTGGCAGCAGGAATCAGGAAGGAAACATCTCAGTGACAGGTGGACAGCGCAGGAGCAGGACAGCTGTGTGACCAGGCGACCTGCTTCCCCCGGAGTTGATCCTCATGTAATAAGCCCCAGAGCTCTCACCAGCCAGCAACTATAACCTCACATTTCTGTTGAATGTCCTCATGATGAAGTCACCACACCCTGCTAGCATGGTTTTGGACAATAATTCTTGTCAAACAACCCCCAGATACTTTTGCAAATGTCTCATATATGAACAAAAACTCTCCCTTACTGCCTAGCGCAATGCTGCTGCCAGTGATTCTTGGAAATGACTGGTTCTTGGGCCCATCACTGCATCCCCATCTGTGGCCTTGTGGAGAGGACACCAGCCCTTTGTGGCCCCAACCCAACCCTTCTCTTGTAAAGACTGATTGAAATGAACCACGTATCACTCAGTGTTTGGGTATAATGAAATGAACTGCTTGCCAGTGCTCCTCACCTTATGATGGGGTCACATTCTGATAAAACCATTGTAAGCTGAAAATACTGTAGGTTGAAAATGCATTTAATTCACCTAAACTACCAACTGTCCTAATTTAGGCTAACCCTACCTTAAAGGCACTCAGAACACTTAACATTAGCCTGCAGTTAGGCAAACTCATCTAACACAAAGCCTATTTTATAGAATAGGTGCTGAAAGTGAAACACGGAATGGTCGTTTGGGAGCTCCAACTACAGTCTGCCCTGAGTGCGTATTGCTTTTGAACCATCATAACATTAAATCATCATAAGTGGCCGAGTCTCAGAGACTCATAGAATTACCAGATGTGGCTTCTCTGAGACCCCAAACTCAGAACTGCTCTGGGTCCCTTAACAGTCAGCCCGCTGCCGCCACATGGCAGGGAACAGCTCTGTTCCCACCACAGAAATGCTCAGTGTCTCTCCACATTTAGCCCCTTCTGCTGGAGAGGAGGAAAAACAGCTTCCTCTCCTTCCATGTGGAGGCCTACCTCTTCCCCCTTCCTTCAGCTAGGGGTAGAATCCACCTCTTCCCAGAATGACTGAGAGGAAATGGGCACTTCTTTCTGGGAAAGCCAGCCCAGCCCGTCCCTCCTCCCACCCGGCCACCCCGGGAACAAATGGTCTGGCCCTTTGGCCAGGACAGGATATTCACAAAGAAAACAACCCAGCGTCAACACCTTCTTGGCTTGTCCACTCTTGAACATCGCCAAGAGAGGAATGTTCCAACCCAGCCCAGTACCCTTCCGCTGTCCCTTCTGCACTGTGAGGTGACCATGATGCTCTCTGTTTCTCCTGTGGTCTTCGCAACTAGTCTCCTGTGGCCTCGGCTTGAACACACACAGTCTATAAAGAGAAAAGAGCCATTTATTCCAAAGTAACAGCATTGCCTGCAGAGACATCAGCCCAATTCATGTGACTACCTAGAACATTTAGCTTATTTATCTCAACATCTGTATGAAGGGAAACAATAACATCAGTCTTCTCAAAAGCAAAGGGGTAGGGAGCTCACTGGTTCCTGGGTTTACGTTTATGTTATTAAAAGACTATCTGCAATTTTTTCCAAGGAAAAGAGGTAGTCTTTCCCAAAAGTAAATTCAGAAGGAGTTTCTAATTTTTAAATAATACTTTCCCCCCCCAATTTTTTATTGTCAGATTTTGGAACAGGGCATCCCTAACACGTATTCCTCTCCTACCTGCCAAAGATTTCCGGAACCATGTATAATGCATGATTTTAGGATGTAATTAACAACAGTATTTGTTGATGAGGAGGTACATTTTGAATCTCCAATAAATGCCTCTAGCCTGCCAGGAACCAAGAACCAATTTTTTATTTTATTTTATTTTATTTTGAGACAGAGTCTCACTATGTCACCCTCAGTAGAGTACCATGGCGTCACAATTCACAGCAACCTCAAACTTGGGCTCAAACAATTCTCTTGTCTCAGCCTTCCAAATAGCTGGGACTATAGGTGCCCGCCACAACTCCTGGCTATTTCTTATTGCAGTTGTCATTGTTGCTTAGTAGGCCTGGGCCGAGTTCGAACCCTCTAGCCTTGGTGTATGTGGCCGGAGCCCTACCCACAGAGCTATGGGCACCGCCCAAAGGACCATTTTTTAATGACTTGCTGTAATGTGGGAGGGCACATTTTCAGAGAAAAGGAGGGCACATTTTCAGAGAAAAGGAGGGCACATTTTCAGAGAAAAGCAGGACAATCAGCTCCATAGCCATCAGGGACTCACCCGATTCCTGCATAATAACATTGTTCTTTAATCTTAGATTACCTATCTGTGTTCTTTTGCTCATAACCTTTTTAAAGTTAGAAACCCAAGTATTCTCTGCAGATTCTTGTCCTGGGATCAAGTGTAGTACAAGTCTATAAATCTGAACACAGCTTGTGAGAAAACCTCTTTGGACTCAGCAATCTGTTCACAGCAGCCTGTATCTTACCCAATGTTGGCAGCTGTATTCTTTTATTTTCTGCAAATCACATTAACTTCAACTCTTGGCTGGTGGAAAATCTAATATTAACTTTTATTGAGTAAATTTCTTCCTCCTCTCAGGATTGCACAAAAATTCAGAAGCTGGAAAAGTAAAGAAAACACGTTTGGGTGGCTCAGTGCCTGTGGCTCAAGCGGCTAAGGCACCAGCCACATACACCTGAGGTGGTGGGTTTGAATCCAACCCGGGCCTGTCAAACAACAATGATGGCTGCAACCAAAAAATAGCCAGGCGTTGTGGTAGGCACCTGTAGTCCCAGCTAGTTGGGAGGTGGAGGCAGGAGAATCACTTGAGTCCAGGAGTTGGAGGTTGCTGTGAGTTGTGATGCCAGGGCGCTCTACCCAGGATGACAGCTTGAGGTTCTGTCAAGAAAGAAAAGAAAGAAAGGAAGAAAGGAAGAAAGAAAGGAAGAAAGAAAGAAAATACCTTTAGTCTTCAGAAGGCTATGTGTGTTGGTTCACACCTGTAATCCCAGCCCTTTTGGAAGCCAAGGCAGGAAGATGGCTTGAGCTCAGGAGTTTGAGACCAGCCTGAGCAATATAGCAAGATCACATCTCTACCAATAAATAAATATATAAATAAAAATAAAAAATAGCCAGACAGGATGGTGTGCATCTGTAGTCCCAGCTACTCAGGAGGTGAGGTAGGAGGTTTGCCTGAGCCAAGGACTTGGAGGTTGCAGTGAACTATGATTGTGCCACTCCCTACATTGGGTGACAGAGTGAGACCCTATCTCAAAACAAACAAACAGGCTCAGCACCCATAGCACAGTGGTTATGGCATCAGCCACATACACTGAGGGTTGCGGGTTCAAATCCAGCCCACGCCAGCTAAACAACAGTGACAACTGCAACAAAAAATAGCTGGCCATTATGGCAAGTGCCTACAGTCCCAGCTACTTGGGAGGCCGAGGCAAGAGAATCTCTTAAGCCCAACAATTGGAGGTTGCTGTGAGTTGTGATGCCACAGCACTCTACTGAGGGTGACAAAGTGAGACTCTGAATCAAAAAAAGACACAAATTAATATTCTTTAAAAAATAATTGTCCTGGCTCAGCGCCTGTGGCTCAAGCAGCTAAGGCGCCAGCCACATACACCTAAGGTGGCGGGTTCGAATCCCCAGCCTGGGCCCGCCAAACAACAATGATGGCTGCAACCAAAAAATGGCCAGGCGTTGTGGCGGGCACCTGTAGTCCCAGCTACTTGGGAGGCTGAGGCAGGAGACTCACTTGAGCCCAGGAGTTGGAGGTTGCTGTGAGCATGATGCCATGGCACTCTAACCAGGGGGATACCTTGAGGCTCCATCTCAAAAAAAAATAATAATAATAATAATTGTCCTATTATTATATCATAGAGATGCCTGTACCACCATGTTTACAGCACCACTCACAATAACTGACATATAGAATAATCCTGGATGTCAGATGAATGGGTAAAGAAAGTGTGGGAGCGTGCGTATATACCATGGGATACTATTCATCCTTAAAGGGAGTGGGAAGGATTCTGTCATTTGCAACAATATGGACAAATCTGGAGGACTTTATGCTAAGTAAAATAAGCCAGGAACAGACCAGTAAGTGAACAGTGTGTGTTCTTGCTGAATATGTAGAAACTGAAACAACATTGATCTCAAAAAAGTAGGAACTTTTGGTTCTAAAATGGCAACATATAAACCAGCTAGATTCATCCCCACACTCTCCTCCACACACAGAAAACCAAAAAATAAATAAAGCACCAAAATTACCACTGGAAATACCTTAGAACTCTTAATAAAAAGCTGAGACAGTTCCTAGGGCCACAGATAAGTAAGAGAATCGGACTTCCTCGCCTGTGATGCCCCTTTCTCCATCCTGCCATTACCCATTGTGTAGAAAATAATCCACCAACTCTCAGTATCTACCCTGGAAATGGTGAGATCAAGGTGCACAACCAGCTTCATACGACCTTGCATTCCCTTGCAGAAGACCTGTCCTTGCTTTAACCCACAGTTAAAGTGCCTGACAGGAGAAATATCCCTAAAGACAGACAGAGACAAGTGTGAGAGCAGGAGAACATTGCAGGCCCAGAAACATGGCTCTGTAACTCAGGCAAAGGAGATGCCAAGTCAGAGAGGCAGCTCAGCAGTGCCAGACTGTAGCAGGTTCGTCCCACGGGTCCCTGAGTGAGAACTCCTAGCGAGCCTTCCCGTCCTTCCGGGAGATCCCCGTCAGGACCTCCTTCATTTGGAAGTGCAGTGCTCTGATCATTTACTAAAGCCAAGGAAAACTAAAAAGGAGGCTGTGACCTAGTGATAAAGAAACTCCAAGCAAATATGTCCAAGGAAAACCACAACAAGCCAGATAAAGAAGATTGGAATAAATATCTAATCCTTCAATGGAGAGACACATATGTGTATCTGCAAGAAACAACAAACAAGAAGGAGGGAACCAGGACCCTCCCAAATGAGGAAGCAAGGAACCAGCAGCGGACCCTACTGAGACAGTGGTATGTTAATGATCTGACCAAGGAGTCAAAATAGTGGTTTTAAGCAAACCTGGTGATCTTCAGGATAACACAGAAAAGCAATTCAGAATTTTCAGAATTTTATCAGAGAAATTTAACTAAGAGATTGAAATCATTTTAAAAACTCAAATCTAGGAGCAGGCTCGAAGCCCATAGCTCAGTGGGTGGGGCACCGGCCACATACACCAAGACTGGCAGGTTCTAGCCTGGCCCAGCTAAACAACGATGACAACTGCGACCAAAAAAAAAGTAGCTGGACATTGTGGCAGGAGCTGGTAGTCCCAGCTACTCGGAAAGCTGAGGCAAGATAATTGCTTAAACCCAAAAGTTTGAGGTTGCTGTGAGCTGTGAAGCCAACACACTCTACCAAGGGCAACACAGAGAGACTCTGTCTCAAAAAAAAAAAAAAAAAATCTGGGAGCAGAGAAATACATTTGCCGAATGGAAATATTTGTTCAGCAAATTTTTGAGGCTCTCAACTAGCCAAACAGATCAAGCAGAGGAAAGCTTCAGTCTCCTTGAAAACAAGCTATTTGAAAATATACGGAAGAAAAGAAAGAAAAAAGAATAAAAAGTAATGGTTCAGTGCCCATAGCACAGGGGTTATGGCACTGGCCACATGCACCATGGCTGGCGGGTTCAAATCTGGCCCGGGCCAGCTAAACAACAATGACAGTTACAACAAAAAAATAGCTGGCATTGTGGTGGGTGCCTGTACTCCCAGCTATTTGGGAGGCTGAGGCAAGAGAATCCCTTAAGTCCAAGAATTTGAAGTTGCTGTGAGTTGCTGTGAGCTGTGATGTCACAGCACTCTACCATAGGTTACAAAGCAAGACTCTGCTTCCAAAAAAAAAAAAAAAAAAGAAGCAGCAGAAGAACATTTTAAAATTTAAAATTTAAATTAAGAAGAAAATTTAAAAATTTCTGGAAACAAATGCAAATGGAAATATGTGTATACTAAAAAATCTATTGGATACAGCAAAAGCAGTGCTAAGAGGGAAATTCATAGCAATAAACTCCTATATCAAAAAAGTAAAAAGACTTTGGAAGTAACAAGCAGAGCAGAGGATCTTAAAGGCTGGGAAGGGTAGGGAGAAGCAGGGGACAGGGAGAGATTTATTAAAGGATACAAAATTGCAACTAAATGGAGGAATTAGTTCTATTGCTATGTAGCACTAATAGAATGACTATAGTTAAATATTAACATAATATAGTAGATATAGTACATACTTTCAAATAATTAGTAGAATACTAAATGTTCCGAACACAAAGAAATGATAATTATTTGAGATGTTGTATATGCTAATTGCCCTGATACAATCACTATACATGATATGTATCAAGACAATATTAGTAGCCAATGAATATTATTATTAAAATTTTAAAATTAAGATTAATTAAAATTAAAACCTTAAGTTGTCAATTAAGAAATAATTTTCAAAATTGCTCTGCTCCAACTCAGTGTAAGAATTGGTATAGTGCCTCAGAAGCCCGTTGCCTGGTAGCAGAGCAAATAGAAAACTAATTCTGATAACACAGTAGGATGCCGCAAATGCTACAGGAAAAGTGGAAATACAATGCTATGGAAGCCCTAAGGGAGAAGAGATTTCCTCCCACTGAGACAACTTCTTTAAGAATTGATATTTGAGGCTCGGCGCCTGTGGCTCAAGCAGCTAAGGCGCCAGCCACATACACCTAAGGTGGCGGGTTCGAATCCCCAGCCTGGGCCCGCCAAACAACAATGATGGCTGCAACCAAAAAATGGCCGGGCGTTGTGGCGGTTGCCTGTGGTCCCAGCTACTTGGGAGGCTGAGGCAGGAGACTCGCTTGAGCCCAGGAGTTGGAGGTTGCTGTGAGCGTGATGCCATGGCACTCTACCCAGGGGGACAGCTTGAGGCTCCGTCTCAAAAAAAAAAAAAAAAAAAAAGAATTGATATTTGGGCTTAGCACCTGTGGCTCAAGTGGCTAAGGCACCAGCCACGTACACCTAAGGTGGCGGGTTTGAATCCAGCCTGGGCCCAACAAACAACAATGATGGCTGCAACCAAAAAATAGCCGGGCGTTGTGGCAGTTGCCTGTGGTCCCAGCTACTTGGGAGGCTGAGGCAGGAGACTCGCTTGAGCCTAGGAGCTGGAGGTTGCTGTGAGCTATGATGCCAGCATATTTGAACTGGTTCTTGGAAAAGAGTTGGTATTTCTCAGAAGGCAGGAAACTGAGGCAGAGAACATTTAGGGAGAAGGAGGCAGGGAAACAAAGCCAGTGAGGTAGCAAAGTGCTATTTGTTCGGGAAACAGGGAGGCCGGAGATCCAGGAGAGGAAAACCTGGCTCAGTTGGGGTGGAGTGTGGAGGGCAGAGGGTGACGGGTGGGGAGGTAGTGAGAGGGAGATATGAGGCTTTTTGTGACTCATATCACTAAGGGTGGGAGGGTATTTGACACATTTTGTTTTCGGCCTTAGTTTTTAATTAGATTCGAGAACAGTGGATAATCTCACGTGTCTCCTCGTACACAGAGCTGTAACTCTGGTGAAGAACTTCGACATGGGCTGGGATTGAAGTTTAGATAGTGGAGCTTGCCTCAGGTCACACCCATGAGTCTATGGTAAAGTCTTCTTTACCTTTGAAGCCTTTGAAGATATGGGGATGTGCTTATAAGTACCATCAGTAAAAGAAGAAAAATAAAAACAACT